TGAAGACCCTGCTAGATCCGCCAATTCATGAGCTCTTTCAAAGAAAGCTCAGAGATCGGACTCTGATGCAGGATCCAAATTTTAAGTGGTGTATTCAGGTAATTATTAATTTAATTGCAATCTTCAATTCACTATTTAAAAAAAAATTATTTTCCAGTGTTCAAGCGGGTTTTACGCCGATCCTGATCACAAGCGTTTAATTTGTCCCGATTGTCGATCTGTCACTTGTGCTTTTTGCCGAAGACCAGTATGTGTGAAACTTTTATGATTTCCATAACATTAAACAAAAAAAAATATAATAATTTATTTTCGCATCTACTTTAGTGGGAAAAACAACATGAAGGAATCTCATGTGAGAAATTTGCTGCTTGGAAGGACGAGAATGATCCTGACAATCAAGCCGCAGGTTTGGCCAAACATTTGGCCGACAATGGCATCGATTGTCCCAAATGCAAGTTTCGTTATTCACTGTCTCGAGGAGGTAATAATAACTACTTTTACACTTTACACTGCAAGGATGCAATTTATAATAAGGATGAAATTGTTTTTTTAATCTATTTCTCGGTTGTGAGTGAGCTCATTATGATTAAACATCTTTTTATCTTTGTTATTTTTTAAATTATAATTTATTTATGAAAATTTGTCTGTGAAGAAGGCTCAAAAATGAGTCGAAACATGTAAGCTTATTTATTTAATAATTTTTTATAATAGATAGATTTGCTAGATATTCATATATCGGCGTTGCGTTATCTACGCTTAACTCCTAGTGCCCTTTTCTTTCCAAGTTAATTTTTTATTTATACAGGAGTTTGTGTGTTATTTAAGAATTAATATATTTTATAATAAGGAAACAATTTTACATTTATTCAGTTTTACTGTTTTGAGATTTTATCATTTAATAATTCTCAATTTTAAGTGTAATTTGCATCTTTTCCAAAAAATTGCTTAATACTTTTTTCTTTGACATTCAATATTTCTAAAAGAAAGCCATTACTATTAAAAAAATTGCAGAATACAAATTCTGCAATAATTATTATTTTTATTCTGTTTCGAGGAGGTAATAATAATTACTACGCTTTATTGCAAAAATAATTTGCATTTTTTTCTTATTTACTATGAAATTTGATTTTATCATTCAATTTTCGACTTTAATTGTTTAAGTGCATCCTGATCATTTCTTTTGCATAAAAAGAATTAACTTCTTCATAACATTTCTTTTTTCTTTGACGTTAAATATTTCTTTAAAAAAAAACCGTTATTACAAAAATTACAGAATACAAATCACGCAGTGGTTATTACTTTATTTTATAAAACCAATATGGTAATGAAAGAATTAATGAATGTTGATTCCAAATATTATCTTAATATACGCGTGGATCATTTTAATACGTTATTTTTTTTTTATCGATCTCGGGTGAGTTTAAAATATGGGGCGAGATATTTTTTCTAAATTATTCGATATGCATATCACAGGAACATTTTTCGAAGCTCGCTGAAAAAGAGGGCTCGTGAATTTTTATAGGTTGCATGCATTTCACGTGCAGCCAATGTAAATATGAGTTTTGCTGCGGTTGCGGCAAGGCTTTCATGATGGGAGCAAAATGTGCGGTCAGCCCTTATTGCGCTAAACTGGGCCTGCACGCCCATCATCCACGCAACTGCCTCTTCTACCTTCGTGATAAGGAGCCGGCGCAATTGCAGCAATTGCTCAGAGAAAATGGCATCAATTATGACATCGAAGGACCTGTCGGACAACGCAAATGCAAGGTGCAACTGCAGAAAGAAACACCGACCGGGGTCGTGGATGCTGTATGCAATTCCGATATTGTTGAGGGCCACGCTGGTTTGTGCAGGTAAGCTCTATTATAGTGAAATCGATATTTCTATAAATTTATTTATAAAATTAAAAATTGAATCAACAGATTATAAAACTAAAAGATAAAATCTGTTTTGAGAAACTTTAACCACATTTCAACACAATTATAAGTGATAATAGGTTACTAATAACAGCTCTTACAGAAAAATTCAATTAAAATTGTAAATACTAAAATATGTATTCCTTTCTTTCATAAATAACCGAGAAATTATTTATGCAAATAGTTTTACGTAAATAAAGTTGTTTTTTAAATAATTTTTCGAAATCAAAACTCAGTTTTACTAAAGGAGACTCTAAATAGTACATACAATCCGCGACACGTTCGTCGATAAGCTTTAGAATTTCAAGCTGCGCAGAAGCTTAATTCTCTCGGATGCATTCAGGCCTTGTTTAATATTCCGTAAACAATAAAAGACAAAATGATATACTCTAAATTCCTGAACGCACTCTCACTCACGCACGATTATACTGGAAGTACTTATCGCTCTCAATCTCGGCGGCGATTCCAGGCGTTTTCTCGAGCGATCTCACAGCGAAGCTGCTACCCTTTCCTACCTCGCTCTTATTTCTTCCCCCAATCAATCGCTAACGAGATCCTCCGTGTATCTCTCAGGATTCATTACGTCGAGTATCTAGTTCGAAAGATCCGTTTGAAGCAGCTGGAACCGCTGCCCTTGCTAAATGTGGATGATCTCGAAATGTGCGTGCGACGCGCCGGGCTGAAACTGCCCGCGAACTGGTACGGGCGTGACCCGGAGCATTACAGAAACGACCTGGTTAAGGTAAACGTAAGCGGGGGACCGCATGTCGTGGGCCTGACTAAAATCTTGGGTACTTTTCCCCCGCAGGCAGCACTACATTGAGTACTTGGCGGGCCTGGTGCTTAAGGACAGGCTGGACCCCGTGGCAATCTTTGACTTGAACGACGCCAAGCAAGAGTTGCGCCGACGGGGAAAAGTTCCCCCTGCGAAGGACCAGGAAATGTCCGAGCGGGATTACCTCGAGGCTTGCATTCAGGTGACTAACACGATTCCTCCGTGTCTTCTTGGTCCTCCTCTTCCTACTTCGCCGCCGCTGCTATCAGTCTGTTTCTTCAATTCTTTCGATTCCTCCTCGCATCTCCTGCGATGACCCACTGACCGAATTAACATAGCAGTTGCATGAAAGTAGAATTCCTACGTGCATCAGACATTCGTAAAGTGAATTCGACAAAATCATAAAAATGAATAAATTCACCGCGAGTCGCTGCCGAACGGTCGTATCTCGTATTGCTGATGTTCTGCGATATTATTCGCACTTATAATTCTTTCTGAGTGCACTATGAAGGATAGATGAGCGGAAGGATTAACGAGAATATATTCTAGATGAAATTCAATTTATAATTTATATAACGCGTGAAATTGTTCTCTATATTAAAAAAAAAATTTCCTATTCTGTTCTTTTGTAGAATAAAATTTTATTTTAGTCAATCTGCTGAAATTAAGAAATTAAAAAAAAATAACTTATAGTAAGAATTAAAATGCATTGTAGCAGAGACGTTTTATATTCAAAATTTAATTAATTAATTCGGCGTCAAGCATAATACATTTAAAAGCATAATTAGAGATAATTATAAAATAAAATAAATTATTATGTAATTAAAAGAATTTAAAACAATAGATAATTAAAGAAATGTTTTAATGAAATCTAGTTAACTGATCTTTTTTTCTGTCTGTATAATCTAAGAGAAATTTCAAAATAATGTATTAATGTAAATCGCATAAGCAATTAAATTACATTTTTGCATAGTTCCCCGTAAAAATATTTTAGATAAGTAATCTGATAAAATGCGATATCTGATGAAGTATGCATTACGAATTCGAAATTATTAAATGTATGGATAAAGCTAATACATTTCATTTATTTGTCAATTTTTGATAATAATTCTCATTCTGAAAATTAAAAGAACTCTATCGGATATGCTGTCCTATATGCGCTATTTAAAGCAAAATAAAAATTTAATGTTCAATATTGTGGATCCGCGCGGCCATTCGCAGCTTCCCACTGCGTAAATAACGATTTCCCTATCCTGTGTGAGTTGCCTTTTTTATGCGGATATCGAAGTAAATAAGGTATACGAGCGAGGTATGTGTGTGCCGCGGGAATACATTAAAATTCTACAACTTCGCCGTACATAAAGCATCCTCCGATGTTGCAGGTCGTAAAGCAGCAGATTCCACTGGAGTGACTGCGGAAGAGAATCTCGGAAAAAAAAAACGAACGTGCGCGTATCCGAAGCTATAAGTGACAAACCGTATATTGTATAGTGTATTTATTTTATTTGCATGGACTATAAGCCCACAAAGTGAAAATAATGTAGGACCACAGCAAAAATAATGTAGGAACTAAAGGAGTAGTGCAATATGAACGTCATTTAGTTATAACGTCAAAAACTTGTTTACTTTTCGATGTGACGTGATTTATATGATTAATTCAACGTCTCATTCGCAAACATTCGGCGAGAAGAAATAGTGTTCATTTCTACATGTGTGTTCTACTTGTAAACAACTGAAGATGTGCAACGATGCGATCAACATTTCTTTACTTCTTGATAGACAAAGTAATTGTTAGTAGGAGTTAAATAATTATTTGAAAATACGTATTTATTTCTGCTTTATATTACTGTTTCCAAGAAATAGACAATTTAGTTTGATAACGTATTTATGATTTCTAATTTTTAAAATTAGTAAGAACTATATTTATAATAATTATTTATATCTCTTATCTTAAACATATTCTTATTATAAAGTGAGATATTTATAATAAAGATTCATATTTGAGTTGCGAATGGTTAAATAATAGTCATCTTTAAATTAAAATAAAATTAGCTCCTTAGTTTGAATCAATTTGAAAAAGCGCCTTATAAAAATTATATTAATAATATAAAATGTGTTTTGTTTTAAGAATAATATCCATTTTTATATGCTAATATTTTAAAGACAGAGGTATGGCTTTTTAAATTCGAAAAATTCTAATTATACTTCTAATGATTAAATTCAAACACACTATTTTACTCATTTTGTTAAAAAATATTATATATTATTATACAGATATTCATAATATATACATATATGTATTTACATTTTCAATATAACTCGGCCAAAAAACTGTGCAAGTTTTTTGCTTTTGAAGGTGTTTTATTTTCCATAATACGTTTTAATCGCTCTATATTCAATTTCTTGGATTTTTGGGGAGAAATAGATTTCTTACTTGAAATTATTTTAGGCGTGATCACAGGCGATATTGTAGGTGTTATACTATTATCTTTCTTATTTAATTGTAATGCAGATGTGCAACCTGAGATATTTAAACCAGCAGTTTTATCCTTAGATTTTTTTTTCTTCTTTTTATGGTTACTTTGTGGTGTCTCTGGCTGTGAATTATTCAACTTTACCGACTTTAAGTGACTATTCTTCTTGAATGGTAACTCAGTGTTCTTAGAACAAATAGAACATTTAATGGCCAATCTATTCATCTCATTTTTTATAGATTTCTGTGCTAAAGTTGCACGAACTTTTGGAATCTTTTGACCTGGATTTTCTTTAATGTATTGTAAAATCTTTTTCACTGATTTAGACATTTTTCTACCTCTTGCTATCCGAACTTGATGATCCACTGTACTCCAAAGTGATCCACAATGCGAACATGCCATTAATGGTCCAAAATTTTGCTGTGGCAACTCTATACTGTTGCTAAAACTTTTACATTTCTGCCTGAAAACATTTTAATAAACATTTAAAAGAAATCCTTTTACATAGATCCATTGACAATGTGAGTATAAAAATACATTTCTTTCTATAGATTACTTATTATCAAAGTATAATTATAAAGTCGCATTAACAAAACTATTTTAATTTTTACACATTTTAAATAATATTTAATAGTAATCGAGCAATAACGTTGACATTTGTATCAACATGAAAAAAGAAATTCAATATTTACTATAAATAATATAAGTAAAAAGTATAGGAAATTACATGTAAAATATCTGTAAATCTGTAACCAATGGACACTTCAGCTTCGTTATAAACTGATTGACATTCCATAAATGTTTAATGGTCTCCATAATTGTTATGAAATGTTGTTCCTGTTTGCACACTGATTAGCCTGATCAAGCGTTTACTCCAGTTTACTTCTGCAAAACAATCGTCAAGTTCGCTGTAGTTGGTTTGGAGCCACCACATCCATTTTTCAATACGATTTTGTCGATTATTTTGTAAAATAAACGTAATATTTAATGCCTATATCGTAAAAGAGGATGTTCGTTGTTCGCTGATGTAAACATTACACGAAAAAAGTTGGAATAGCTGGCTGGTGGCTGCTCTCAAATTTCTCTCTGCTCTGATATTGATATTCAACCATATTCAACATGATTCGATGCAGTGCAGCCAACGTCAAGAAAAACGAAAATGTCTGCAACGTTCCGAAACGCATCTTACATTGTCCAATAATCGTTTGTCTCTCGGCCGCGCCTCCTGCACGATTCTGGAACACTTTTGATCTACCGTCTCTTTCCCGCCAACTCCGAGCCATACATTCGTCCCGCTTCGAGTGCGGACAGTGCGAATTTTTTTTCTTCCGAGCAGACGAGACCCACAGGGAGGACCGCAATCTCTCTTCTGTATTTACGTGACGTCGTGGACGATACGGGGAAGTGGGGGGAATTCGTATTTTGTCATCCTTGTCATCGATGCACCGGGAGCTGTTCTGTCAAACAATAGAAGCGAATCGTGTCCGTCGTGCCGTGGTAGTGAGTTGGTCCCATCGTCGTTCGGCATGGGAGACGGCAAGGAGGGCGAGCGGCAGCCGCTGCTGAAGAATGAAAACGTCACGTACAGCTCGCACAGCAACGATGCGATCGGCGGTACGTTACGCCGCAGGTCTCGCGCTCCGTTCGCTCGTGAGAACGCGTTCGCGTCTGAGAATCGCCGCTACAAGAATGTCATTATCTTGTTTGTTATTGCAGACGAAACACAGTCCAACGTGCACACCGTCTCCACGATCGGCCCGGATGAGCTGCCACCGCCGTATCAGTCCGCCATCCAGGGTGGCATGCCAATGGTCACTTGCAGAGTTTGTCAAGCGATGATAGATATTTCCGGAAAGAGGGATCAGCACGTCGTTAAGTGCTGTCAATGTAACGAGGCTACAGTACGTTTCCAAAGATTGTTTCTTTTTTGCAGTTTGTTTACTAGTAGGTAACAATGTTAATGCTAAGAGTCTTTATTGTCTCCTTTTCTTGCACAGCCCATACGAAATGCTCCACCTGGAAAGAAGTATGTACGATGTCCGTGCAATTGTCTGCTCATATGTAAGAGTTCTTCGCAGCGTATTGCCTGTCCCAGGCCAAATTGTAAACGTATTATCAATCTTGCTCCAAGCCCTATTACACCTCCAGTTCTGTCCATGCCAGGCATGTGCAGGGTAGGCTGTGCCCATTGCCATGACACATTCTTGGTGAGTCATCAAAGATATAGTATATTAAATCTTTAATATGCTTGTTGTTTTCTGTCCTTTTTTTGCTTTTTCCTTTCTTGCTTCTTTCCTCTGTAACTATTTTATCAATAATCACGTATCTTCTCAAGTGTTTCTTGTCTCCTTTAAAGTTCATCAACTTTTATCTCAGATGGTGAAATAGACAAATAAAAAATAAAAAGGCAAGAAGTAAAAAGCAAAACACAGGAAGTAAAGTACATTGTAGATTAAACTTTGAAGTTATTAGTCTTGTTTAATGAATGTGACAGTTGAGTGAACAGTAATTATTGTCTGTGATTGGAATAGACCTTTAGATCTATAAAAATCTAGAACTATATACCAATAGCAACAAGTGCTTACTCAACTGTTATGTCCGCTGAATGTATCCATTGTTTTATTGATTTTTATCTTTTCGACAAAATGTTGTCTTCCACAGTTTAATACATTAAATAACGCTTTGGCTCGATGTCCACATTGCCGTAAGATATCTTCCGTTGGTCCAGACTTTGCTAGAGGAAGAGGAATTGTATTCATTATCGTTGGGATTATAGCCTTAATAATTGCTATAGCTGTAACAGTATGTGTGCAAACTTCAATTCTTCTTTGTATCTAATGTGATATTTATTTTATATTGTGTATAATTACAGGTTGGAACCTATAAATATGTAAAAACAAATGGTGGAATTTATGTAGCTTATGTTGGTAAGTATAAACAATGTTTCAAAGATGTTAGAACTGCTCCAAGATCTCAAATAGAGATATAATTAACCAATTGCATTAGTCAAATTGTTTTAATGTGATTTGTTGATCCTTTCTCCAAGTTCTCGGAAAACTTTTTAGCATCATGGACACAAGCTTTAGATGTCAAAGTTTATCGATAATTTTATAATTCTTAATATTCAAATGCTGTTTCAAAAGTTTGTTTATCACGTTTTGAATCACGTTTCCAGGTGCATTTCTATTGGCGCTTTTATGTTTGGGTCGCAGCATTTATTACTGTACGATGAAGATCAGTTTGATAGAGGGTCCTATGTAGTCTCCCAAACAACACACAATGAACAATCAACACAAAATCAATTCCGCTGAGATGAATGTCATGTAACCTATTTAGAACAAATGTATAGTAATGTGACATTTCAAATCCTTTTAAGGCAAGAGCGATATATATATATGGCCATATGATGTGCGTATGCAGTTCTGTATTGTTTATGTTAATGCGTGTATACATTCTTATATATAATACGCATACACATACGAACATGTTTCGTGATCAAGAAGAAGGCAATTGTTTACAATGCTTTCTTCAGGTAAAATAATGATCGTAGGAAATCTTTCTCGAAAGCCTGTATTTTATGAAGAATTGTTCTTATGCACTTTTATATATACAAGCATAGGATCAATGGCTATGGGCTTCGAGTTTTATTTTCAACTTACTGACTAGAGAATATGCTCTAAATATATATATATATACATACATGCTTTCTATATACATGCGTATCGAGTGCACATAGATAGAATCAAAGTGCAAATGTGCTCATACTATTCCAAACGTACGTATAAAGTAAGTTTTAAAAACTCATATATATATATGAGTCTGTGCGAATCTGTTTTTAAATTTATTCTTACATTCTATATTAAAAAAACATCTGTATTGAATACATAAAAAAAATTACATTGTTTTAAATTTCTGGGTTTATATGGATTTTGTAGCACAGATAAATGCAATTACAAGGGAGCTAAAAGTATCAGTGTATATATTAATATTATAAATAGCGCACTTAGGTAATATATAAATCCAAATATGTGGTATGTTATATGAAGGATGCGAGATGTTTTTTTAGTTTTCATTGTCATAAAATACACTATACATCGATTATGAAAATTAAAATATTATTCCTGTTGATGATTTTCGTCATGTCCTTATAATCTGCAATGCTCTTTTAAATACATTTCTTCTTTCTAGACAACTCTTAATCAAACCTATATAAGTTTCTTTATCATATAATGAAAGATATGTTATACTTGTTAAAAAAATAAATTCCGTTTGGTAAAAAATTAACAGTTGCGTTTATTACATATTATACGAATAAATTTATTGATCCCAGAAAAATGAGTAATTGTTTAATTACTATGAAACATTGTTGTGAATTATATACACAAAAGAATTAAGAACATTATTCAAGCAATTAATAAATAAATAATTTCAAAATATATAAAAATTAGTAAAATATCGGTAAAATATCTTTTGAAATTCAAACAACAACTATGAAATAAACAAATGAGAGTAGTTATGTTTAATATAATAATTCGTGCACAATATCAAATTTTATTTATTTGATCTTACATTAATTAAGAAAATGCAAACGTTTCAGCTTCATTCGAATAATCTTTAGCGAAGCGAATTAAGTATAAATTAACTCAAAACTGTTCCTGCTTAATCTTCAAGGAGATACAAATCTGGATTTGAAACTTTCAACTCAAATAGTGGTAATTGTGATCCGAGAGGAAAAAGGGGGACAAAAGAAGAAGTACAAATTAATTTATCATTCGTAATGTCTTGATTAATATAAGATTAAATAAATAGAATTTGATATCTCGCACGAATTACCGAATTGCGAAATGATATTTGAAGCATTTGAAATTCCCGCTGAGACGTAAATGGAAAAAAATCCCTAGTACTAGTCATGCTACTGCGGAACAGCTGATTGCTGAAAGTAGCGAAAAGGAAAATCCGCATCAATAGGGAGGTTACTGAAAAGTATGTGAGGGAAAGGGTCAAACAATAATCGCGTCACTGTCTGGAGATACTTGATTTAACATTTGGACATTAACAAGAAAACGCGAACGACAAGTACTATACCTTCAAATGTGACAGATGTTTGTTGTAAGAGATGTCACAAATTGATATTCAGGATTTATTTAACAAAAGCAGGTAAGACAATTTTTATTGCAAATATTGCAAAGAATCTGCTGAGCACGGCTATTATTATCCAAATACATTATTTTCATTGTAAATATTGATTAAAAACACGAGTGTAAGAGATTTTCTTGCAACTAAAAAATTGTTCTTTGTCATATGGAGTATCCACTCTCTCTCTCTCTCTCTCTCTCTCTCTCTTTGTAAAAGATATTTAGACAGAATAAAAACTGATTACTTTTTACTATAGTTATCAAATTTAAAACATTAAAGTTTAATCAATTACGTTATGAATTTAGGTTTCCCAGCGATTGGCGCCTTCTACTTGTAATTTTATATACGCCAATAGGATTTGTACTTGTGTTGCTGCGACTGTTGGTGGTATTGCTGTCCTGGCTTCTAGCATCACTACTACCTGATTGCAATTCTCTTCGAACATTTTTAAGTTATGGCATTAGGATTGCTTTTGGTATCGTAATTAAAATCGATACTGAGAATGAACCCAGAGACAAGCAATCGAGAATAATAATCGCTAATAGTGTATCAGTTCTGGATCACTTTGCCTTACGTCGTACAACACAAACGGTAATCCCTAGTGTTTGGGAGTTACCTACTGCCTTGAGTAATGCGCTGGGAATCCAAAAAATGAATATGAACAATAAGGAGACACTAATTGCCAACATAAAGCAATTTCTTTCTACTTCTACATATAGTGTGTCTGTACAGCCCGAATTTGGCACAACTAACAACCAAGTTGCTCTGTTGAAATTCAATTCCTGGCCATTCAGTATAGAAACATCTGTCCAGCCAGTTGCTATCAAAGCGTCAAGACCAGAACTTGTACCTGTGCAGCTTACCTCATTGGCTTCAACAAGGTTGACAGAAGTATTTTGGTTTATGTTTGTGCCCTATACAGTTTTCACACTCAAGTACCTGAAAATCAGACGAAACTCTGATCATGAGATACTTGTACGAGAAGTGGAAAAAGATATCGCAGATGCTTTGAGACTTCAGACATGTTCTCATACTGTATCAGACAAAATTGAGTATGAAAAGCGCTACCGCACGAGAATACTCAGTAACGCGCGTCCTACCAGAAATACGCCAAACTCACAAGTTATACATAGTATAGAAATACAAAGGATGGTTCATCAAGTCAGCGAAGTACTTCCATTTGTTCCACACAATGTGATTCTACGAGATCTCAGTATGTGTATAATTATCTGAAATGTTAATTTTTAATTTTTATTTACATCTCTTTTATCTTATTCAAATCTTATTTTATTTAATCTTACAGTAATTATTGTATATAGCGATTTTCTGGTAATAGCAGTTATTAAATTTGTTCGTTTGATTTTTATTATAGTGAAAACTCGAAACGTTGATGTTACGATCGCCAATATTCTCGATGGCATAGTTACTTATACTCCAGAACCTAATCCACAAGCTCAATCATCTGTAACATCGTCCAGTGCATCTTCAAGTTCTACGAAGGCTAACATATTGGGTACTATTTCCTTCCAAGAGAAGAAAGCTAAAATGATACAAGAAGCTAGGGAAAGGTATATTAAAAAACATGGACTGACAAATTGCTGACATTTTTACTATTATTTTATTCTGGTTATAACACTGTCATTATAATAACATTAATATAACATGTTTACTGTTCATGTATTATATTTACTATTACTTCATGTGTGAATACATCTTTATTTCTAAAATATGATCACACGTAATTGTACAAAACCTATCCATTATAATCATAAGCAATACCTTATAGAAAAGTCGTTTTTAAATAATGCAATTATCAGTTATGTATTATATAATGCAATTATTGATCATAATAATGGAATTACTCGCTTGAACAGCAGGGAGATTTAAGACTTTTATATTGAATTTTTAATTATTTTGTTGTAGATGAACGAAACGTCACAAAAGTATTTATCTTTTTTTGAGTGTATATGAGGCCACAAAATCTGTTTTTAAATTAAAAATATTTATACTAGTTTTAATAAAAAATAATGTATACACTATGATACATACATAATATAAAGAGACATTTAAATCTTTTAATATTTTTAATAAATAAACAAATATAAATAAAAATTACATGATTATGTTAAATTATAAGTAAATGTAATAAAATTTTCTTTTTAATGGAACTTTAAATAAATTTGGACATATCATTTTGATACTTAATTATAATTGACAATTAAGTCATAAAAGAATATGGCAGACAAAAGTTTTATTAAAAAAATAACATAAGTGGAGAAAAACATGAGATACAATAATCTATATATACTTAAAATCTATATATTTATAGTTACAATTATATAATTATAAAAGTATAATTATGACTTGTATATATGTATTTATGTATACATTTCATATTATTCTTATATATATTGTCTAAAATTCTCCATAGAGTTTCTCTCGTAATTCTTAGTAATTATGATGTATACAATTAAAGTATATAATATCTATATATAGTGTCTATGCAAAAAATAGATAAATGTAAGAACAAATATGCCCATGTTCTCTCTGAAATATTTCTTATATTATATATCCATTTATAAAATTTGGAAGACTTGTTTTGTACTATACGTGTTATATATATGTGATATAAAAAATATAAACTCTATAACATAAGAATAAACAAATTAGTAAAATAAAATATAAAAATAATACTTTTATACTATTATAATAGTTATGTATATGCACTAAAGAAACTTAATATTCTCATTGATATTCTCACTTAATATTAATAAATGTATACATATACAGTAATAAATTGTTACATATAAATATAAAAATTTAATAAATGTACATGATACAAATTTAAATAAAGTGCTTGAATTCTAAAATCTCAAATTAAGTTGTTTTCAATGTTTATTACTACAAGAACTTGTAACTAACTATAGTAAAAACGAATTATTAAAAATTAATAGTCTTATATATGAATTATAGCCAACAATTCTAATCTCTCTCTCTCTCTCTTAATCATTTATTATTATATATTATAGATTATTAAATTATATGGCCTATTATTGTCTGCTCTTGTTTATACTAACTATTATCAGTGATTAATTATTCACAATGCATTTTGTATCAGTATTTAAGATTGCCAACACAGACATATTTAATATCAAGAAAATCTTCAACCCCATGTTTAGAACCTTCCCTTCCTAAACCAGATTCTTTTATCCCACCAAAAGCAGCTTCCGCGCATGAAATTAATCCCTCATTGACACCTACCATACCAACTTCCAATTTACGTGCAACTCTAAATATTTGCGATATGTCCTGTGAGAAGAAGTATCCAGCCAAACCAACTGGTGTGTCATTAGCTTGCTTCAATACGTCATCCTCGCTAGAAAATTTATTTATTACTGCTACGGGGCCAAAGATTTCTTTATTGTAAATTTGCATGTCTTTAGTTATATTAGTTAATAGAGTAGGCGCATAAAACAATGGTCCTAGGTCTGACAACGGATGTCCGCCGCAATGTACCTTAGCACCTTTCTGAACTGCATTCTTTACTAGACCATCTATCATATCTAATTGACTTTTCTTTATAAGTGGCCCATGAGTGATACCTTCTTTACAACCGTCTCCCATCTTTATATCTTTCTCAATTCTCGTCACAAATTTTGTAACAAACTCATCAAAAATATCAGCTTCTACGAAAAACCTGTTTGCCGAAACACAAGTTTGACCAGTATTGCGAAATTTACTGGCCATGGCACTATTTATAGCTAGATCTACATCTGCAGATTTAAATACAATATATGGTGCGTTACCACCCAATTCGAGGCCAAGCCGTTTCATGGTTAAGGCGCATTGTTTATATAAGATTTTCCCTACAGCTGTAGAACCAGTAAATGATAGTACTCTTATTTTTGGATTTTCACACAGCTCTTTGCCAACGGTGGCGGAATTTGTTATACTCGTAGTAATTACATTCAAGACTCCTGCAGGAAAGCCTGCCTGTTCCGCGAGATCTGCTAGTGCCAATGCTGTTAACGGAGTGTCCTCGGATGGTTTAATGACGCATGTACAGCCAGCAGCAAGTGCAGCACCTGCCTTCCTAGTAATCATAGCATGTGGAAAATTCCATGGTGTGATTAAGGCAGCTACACCGACTGGTTGTCTTAATAAAAATAATTCTCTATTTGATACAGGAGCTTGCAGTATTTCTCCTCCTATTCTTCTAGCTTCTTCTGAAAACCATTCGACAAAAGAATTTCCATACTTAATCTCTGCTCTAGATTCAGCGAGAGATTTTCCATTCTCTTTAGTCAAGATAAGAGCCAAGTCCTCGGAATGCTCAACCATCAAATTGTACCATTTTCTAAGCAAATCACTTCTTTCTTTGGCTGTAGTTTTACTGAATGACTCGAAAGCTTTGGCAGCAGCATTAATGGCCACTTGAGTATCAGCAGCATTCATATCAGGAACATGAGCAATTATAGTATTGTCAACTGGATTGCAAATGGAAAATGTTTGTTTGCTACTGGCACCTATCCAATTCCCATTAACATATGCATTATCTCTCAAGAGATGCATTGTTCTAGAGCTCAAAGGCACATGATGCAACACATACTGTTGTAACAACTTTGTTCTAAGCATTCTCTCACAAGTGACCAAATGTATTCTGTAAAGAAGAGTTGTACTATAAGAATAATTAAATAATAGAATCTTTAAATATAGCTAAAAGTACACATGTATAAATTATGTATAAAATTATGTTACACTGACTCCAAACTTTTATTCACTTATCTATATTTGATTATATTTGTGTTTCATTCCTGTGATATATATGTGATATCATAAATTACCTTTATCAATATAAGCACGCGTAATTATCTTCCATACATGATGCGTGTGTGAAACAACATATTAACAATTGTGTGCAAATCAATTTTTAATTTCTTATCTATATCTATTTCTTAGTCTATTTTTATAAAACCAGCATGTTTTCTTGCTAGATTGCTTGTCTTTTGATAAATTAATAAAATTAATATTGTACACAGAACGCATAATTCCTAATAATTCACTAAAACGCAAACAATTCAACAAGAAAATATACATCGTGTGTTACTGCTTTAATTCTAAAACATAATATTCTTTTCAGTTTAGAATTTAGATATATCATATTAATACGTTTTTAACTCTTACCTTCAACAGGTTATTAATTTAACGATAGTATTACGCGTCACTGGTTCATTTATTCCATCGGTTTAGCAACCCCGTCAATTGAAAGCCCAATTGACATATCAGAACGAGCTTATGTAAGTGACGTCCTCTCACTGCCGATTACATCGCGCTTATAAATCCTCAGTGATCAACGATTCCGTGAGTGCCGACGCGTCGGCGTCCCTCAGTCAATACGCTTGTTATCGAGCTTGATTGTTTGTTGTGTTGGGATCACTGCAAAATACAACGAAGAGTATTTCACGCATCATGAGCGGCAATACAAAGCGGACCATTTACGTAGGCATGTATAAATTAATAGAAAATATCAAATCTAAACATGCATAGCATAACCTATAGAATATCACTTTAATCACAAACTGTAAATAACTCTAATAACCGATGATTAATTCAACCGGCATAAATAATTGCTTGCAACAAAATTTTTGATTGCATAATTTATTATGCTTGAATCAAATATTTTATCTTTATATCAAGTTAATTAATTTTGTTTATTTCATTTACAAAATATTGTACATACTAGATATTTGACAAGTTTGACAGTCCATTAGGATAATTAAATGCCTCGCGACTCCTTTTACATTCTATCCAGTGTTTCTTTTTATTTGTTTAATTTATTAAGTTATTATTTTCTAAGACTAATAAGATAAGCTAATAAGATAATCAAGTTAAATGTTAAAAGTTCCATGATTTATTTTTATCAATATATATATGAATAAATTATTATCATCTTTCATACTTGGATTTCTTCATCAAATTTGATCTTTTTTTATTACTTTATTATTTAGAATTAATCAAAGTTTGATTAAAGTCAATTCATTCTAAATTATTGTTTATTTATATATCTGAGAAATAATTTTTACTATAATCATTAATAAAAATATATTGTGTAATAAGTTATTGTTTAAGTACAAATTCTATTCTTGTTTTTTAGGTGGCTTAGCTGAAGAAGTTGATGAAAAAGTGTTACATGCAGCTTTTATACCCTTTGGAGAAATTGTTGATGTCCAAATACCATTAGATTATGAATCTGAAAAACACAGAGGATTTGCATTCATTGAATTTGAAACAGCAGAAGATGCAGCCGCAGCTATAGATAATATGGTATATTTGTAAAATGACGTTAATAACTTTAATGAATTGTTTGATAGCATCTGATATTGATTTTATAGACTCTTTTGTCATAAGTAATTTATTTTATGAAGCTCTCAAAAGATCTTAAAAGTCACTGATAGTTTTTCACAAAAATAAATCACTTAAAGGATATAGAGAGCATTAATGTTACTTTGATGTAAATCTAACTTTTTTTCCTATCTAATCATTAAGCATGTGTAAAAACAATATGACATGTTGTTTATGATTGTGATAATTTATCAAAATTAATCTACGTTGATTAACAGAACGACTCGGAGTTGTTTGGCCGAACTATAAGAGTAAATATCGCTAAGCCGCAAAAGATAAAAGAAGGTTCATCGAAACCGGTATGGGCAGACGACTCTTGGCTACAAGAACATGCGGGCGAGACATTGAAAAATGACGACAATACAAAGACGACAAATGATGTCGCACAATTAAAGAAATCAAAGCAGAATCCTCAGGTTTACTTTGACATAAGCATAGGAAAACAAGAAGTGGGTAGAATTATTATGATGTTACGAGCAGATATTGTACCAAAGACTGCCGAGAACTTCCGAGCACTTTGTACGCATGAAAAGGGATATGGATATCAGGGTAGCACACTTCATAGAATTATTCCAGATTTTGTATCCTTAAATCAAATTTTTTATTCTATATGAAAACGGTTTCTCAGATTATTTTATTTGTCTTTTCTTTTAATTTTAAGTAAAAAATCCTTAACATAAATATCACAGATGTGCCAAGGAGGTGATTTTACGAATCATAATGGTACAGGTGGAAAGTCAATCTATGGCAACAAGTTCGACGATGAGAATTTTGAATTAAAACACACGGGTCCAGGAACCTTGTCAATGGCCAATTCTGGCCCAAATACAAATGGATCACAATTTTTCATGTGTACAGCCAGAACAGACTGGCTAGATGGAAAACACGTTGTCTTCGGACATGTCCTCAGTGGATTAGATATACTTAGAAAAGTTGAAAAATGTGGAACAAAAGCAGGCACGCCGACACAAAAAGTTGTCATAACTGCTTGCGGAGAATTAGTATAATTATTTCTGTGTATATAACATTTTTTGTAATAAATTAAAGTATGTAAAAGATTAATCTCGAAATTTTTATATTTTAAGACTACTAAGTAGTCACCACAGCTACATTGAATCGTGACGTCAGAAGCGAGAAATGACATTGATTTTTGTTACGTGCCATTTTGTAAATAATAATTTGGATAATGCCTGGTTTATGCTTCGGTCTTAAGGTCTTAATCCTAAAATTCAGCCAATAGAGTTCAAATTTCGGTTAGAACTGGCAGCTTTATTGGTTGAATTTTAGGATCTTGGGATTAAGACCTGAAGCATGAACCAGGCATAAAATGAAATGATAAGACCGTTTTATTAGGTCATCTGTCAATAAAATTTAGTATATAATAGGTCTGTTCTTTTTTTTTTTTCTTACTTATGGCTCCTGGGGTGCGTTCAGAATCGTCGTCCGGATGCACCCAGATGTTGTTTTATCCTTGTTGTTCACGAATGATAAACAAGGATAACACGATACCTGGTGCACTCAGAATTCAGATGATGATTCTGAACGCAGTCCTGCAGACAGAACGCTTGTCGCGTGGCGGAAGTTGGCGTGATAGCCAATCAACGTCTCGCCGGCAAGATATTGGCTACGTTCAGCAGACTCAACAGTTGAGTGAGCGCTCTCTATTATTGGTATATTTTTCTAGATTTAAAATTGGATTGGATGATCTAAAAGAATACACCAATAACAGCGAGCGCTCACTTAACTGTTGAGTTTACTGAACGTAGCCATTGATTGGTTATCGCGTCAACGCCGCCGCGTTCTGTTCTGCCACGCAGCAAGCGTTTCCACTTTCCGCATTCAGTCTGCAGGAGCCGTAAAAGTATACATTTGCATCAATAACATTGCTTCTTACTGCATCGAAAATGCCGAAATTTGAGCCAAATAAGCATCATTTGCACGATGTGTTAATCTTTTGCTTCAACTGGAAGAAAACTGCAGCTGAAGCTCATCAAATGCTTGTAGAAGTTTATGGTGATAGTGCTCCTTCCGCTAAAGCATGCAGAGAATGGTTTCAACGTTTTAAAAGTGGTGATTTTGATGTGAAGGACAAAGAGTGTTCTGAACAGTCAAGAGCATTTGGAGACAAAAAATTACCGGCATTGGTGGGTAAAAACCTATGTCGAATGCAAAGAGACTTTGAAAGGCGAAAAGTCATCTGCGAAATTCTGCTTGCTAGGCTACAAAGAAAGAAGTTTTTGCATCGTATCATCAATGGGGATAAAAAATGGATTTATTTTAACAACCCCGGCCAATCCTTAACATCGACGCTAAAGAATATCCACGGAGAGAAGGCAATGCTCTGTATTTGGTGGGATCAGCAGGGTGTTGTGTACCATGAGCTGTTAAAATCTGATCAAACACTCACAGAGCATCTCTTCTACCTACAAATACTCAGGTTGAACGAAGCATTGTATTCAAAACGAAAAGAATTTAATTTATGTCAGAATAAATTGGTTTTTCTTCATGACAACACTCGGCCTGAGGTGACAAAGGAAACGTTAAACATGTTTCACTGGGAAGTGCTGCCACAAGCGGCCTATACACCAGGCTGTATCCCTTCCGATTACTACTTGTTTCCGTCGATGGCACGTGCACTTAAGTATAAGAAACGCTTCAATTCTTATGAAGAGGTTGAAAAATGGGTCTCTGACTGGATAGCCTCCAAATCCAAAGATGAGTCATTCTTTTACCGCGGAATTTCCCAGCTGCCCGAAAGATGGGAAAAAGTCGTCGCTAACGATGGACAATATTTTCATTAATGTACTTTTTCATTTTGTTTCTTAAATAAAATTATATTTTTTGTAAAAAAAAAAAAACAGACGAAACTTTCTGATTGACCTAATAGAACAAATGTAGAAATGGACTATTTTTATCTTCTTCAACAGTTAGTAACAGTAACTAATGATGATAGATAAAAAGTGGTAAAGTACAGAAGTAAAAATAGGTTATGCATACACATTGCTGTTAAGCAAAGGCACTCCACATGCCTTTTATCATTTTTTACGATTATTTACTGATTGTCACTATTTGCTAATTGTGTGTGTCGTTTACTAACTGTACACAGATTGTAAGCACGTATCAATATATTGAGATATATATATATATATATAGTTTCTTTTTTACGTATAGAGTGCTTAAAATAATTTTTGGGGTTTTTATTTAATTTTACCGGGGAACAAAAGTATATTGATTTAATTATTATTTACTTCGCTGAAAAACATTTATGCTTATGTAAAATACATTTTAAATAGGCACACTCTATTAGATTATTAAAAATTTATCTACTAAAATTGTGTAAAAGAAAAACTGTGTAAGA